AACCCAAATCTTTTTCTGTGGTCTGACCCCTCGCCTTTCTCATTCCTTCTCCTCTCCAGGTAATCGTTGATGTACTCTCTTTCTCTCTTCCCCTCTTACCCTTTTCCCCACGTCTCCCTCCTTCCCTTCTTCCCCACGTCTCCCACTTCCCCTCTTCCTTACGTCTCCCTCCTTACCTCTTCCCCATGTCTCCTTTCCTTCCCATCTTCTCCTCTTCCCCATCCCCACGTCCCCTCCTTCCCCTCTCCCCCACGTCTCCCCTTCTTCCCCTTTCCCCACGTCTCCCTCCTTCCCCTTTCCCCACGTCTCCCTCCTTCCCCTTCTTCCCCACGTCTCCCTCCGTTCCCCTCTTCCCCTACGTCTCCCTCCGTCCCCACGTTCCCTTCCTTCCCCTCTTCCCCACTCCCTTTCCCACGTCCCCTCGTCTCCCTCCTTCCCCTCTTCCCCACGTCTCCCTTCCTTCCCCTCTTTCCCCACGTCTCCTTCCTTCCCCTCTTCCCCACGTCTCCCTCCTTCCCCTCTTCCCACGTCTCCCTCCTTCCCCTCTTCCCCACGTCTCCCTCTTTCCCTCTTCCCCACGTCTCCCTCCTCCCCTCTTCCCCACGCTCTTCCCCTCCTTCCCCACGTCTCCTCCTTCCCCTCTTCCCCACGTCTCCCTCTTCCCCTCCTTCCCCACGTCTCTCCTTCCCCCGTCCCCTCTCCCTTCCCCACGTCTCCCTCCTTCCCTCTTCCCCACGTCTCCCTCCTCCCCCTCTCCCAGTTCCCTCCTTCCCCTCTTCCCACGTCTCCCTCCTTCCCCTCTTCCCCACGTCTCCCTCCTTCCTCTTCCCCTCTTCCCCACGTCTCCCTCCTTCCCCTCTTCCCCACGTCTCCCTCCTTCCCCTCTTCCCACGTCTCCCTCCTTCCCCTCTTCCCACACGTCTCCCTCCTTCCCCTCTTCCCCACGTCTCCCCCTCTTCCCCCTCTCCCCACGTCTCCCTCCTTCCCTCTTCCCCAACTCCCCCTTCCCCTCTTCCCCACGTCTCCCTCTTCCCCTCTTCCCCACGTCTCCCTCCTTCCCCTCTTCCCACCTCCCTCCTCCCCTCTTCCCCACGTCTTCCCTCCTTCCCCCACGTCTTCCCCTCTCTCCCCACTCTCCCTCTCCTTCCCCTCTTCCCCACGTTCTCCCTCCTTCCCCTCTTCCCCACGTCTCCCCTCCTCCCCTCTTCCCCACGTCTCCCTCCTTCCCCTCTTCCCCACGTCTCCTCCTTCCCCTCTTCCCCACGTCTCCTCCTTCCCTCTTCCCCACGTCTCCCTCCTTCCCCACGTCTCCCTCCTTCCCCTTCTTCCCCACAAACGTCCCTCCTTCCCCTCTTCCCCCACGTCTCCCTTCCTCCCCTCTTCCCCACGTCTCCCTCCTCCCCTTCCCCACGTCTCCCTCCTTCCCCTCTTCCCCACGTCTCCCTCCTTCCCCTCTTCCCCACGTCTCCCTCTCTTTCCCCTTCTCCCTCCTTTCCCCTCTTCCCACGTCTCCCTCTTCCCCTCTTCCCCACGTCTCCCTCCTTCCCCTCTTCCCCACGTCTCCCTCCTTCCCCTCTTCCCCACGTCTCCCTCCTTCCCCTTCTTTCCCCACGTCTCCCTCCGTCCCCTCTTCCCCCACGTCTCCTCTTGCTCCCTCTTCCCCTCTTCCCACGTCTCCCTCCGTCCCCTCTTCCCCACGTCTCCCTCCTACCCCTCCCCACGTCTCCCTTCTTCCCACTCTCCCCACGTCTCCTCCTTCCCCTCTTCCCCACGTCTCCCTCCTTCCCACTCTTTCCCCACGATCTCCTCCTTCCCCATCTTCTCCTCTTCCCCACGTCTCCCTTCCCCTCTTCCCCACGTCTCCTCTTTCCCTCCCTTCCCCACGTCTCCCTCCTTCCCTCCTTCCCCACGTCTCCCTCCTTCCCCTCACTCCCTCTGCTCTTCTCCCTCACGTGGGAGCTCGCGGTCGTCGTGTAACCGTGGCGGAGCTCGCTGTCCCCTCACTTCCCCTCGCCTCTCTGTCGTCGGTGTGGTCGGTCTCTCTCTCCTCTCCTCTCTTCTTCTCTCTCTCTCTCTCTCTCTCTCTCTCTCTCTCTCTCTCTCTCTCTCTCTCTCTCTTCTCTCTCTCTCTCTCTCTCTCTCTCTCTCTCTCTCTCTCTCTCTCTTCTCTCTCTCTCTCTTCTGTCACGCGCTTGCTTTATTATTTTTCGTCCCGTCGTGTTTACTTTTACCAATGCTGTATTTATTTTTATTTCATTCATTTATCATCAACAACATTGCCATCACCATCATCATCGTCATCATCACCATCATCATTATCATCATCACCATCATCATCTTTTCACCGCACTTTTTTTTTTTTGTTTTTTTGAAGATTTAATCTGAGGATAGCGTTTCCTCTGTTCTACGTCGTCTGAGGCTGTGTGACTTGAGACCTGGGATAATTACCTCCTTTGCTCCGGCTTTACATAAGAGCGTTTATTGTCTGTCTGCTGGTCTGTGCGTTTGTGTGTCTATCTCTGTCTGTCCGTTTGCCTCGGTTATTCTTTCCTGTTATTTCTCCCTCGCTTTCCTCTCACCCTCTCACCCTATCTCCTACTTTCAGTCTTATTCTCTCCCTCTGTCTTCTCTTCCCTGACGCCTACCCTCTCTTTTTTTTCCTGCCTCCCTCCCCGTCACTGTCCCTCTCCCTCCTCCTCTTTCGGCCCCTCCTCCCGCCTTCCCCTCCATTCCTCCTCACTCCGTGCTCTTTTCGAGCTCCCGCCACTCCCCCTCTCCCTCTTACCTTCTCTATTAGCCCTATCACCTTGCTTGACCTCACTCTCCCTCTGTTCTATCTTTCTCTCTCTCTCCCCCTCTCCCTTTCCCTCTCCCATCCCCTCCCCTCCCCTCTATCTCCCTCCTTCCCTCTCCCATCCCCTCCCTCTCTCTCCCCCCTCTTTCTCCCTCTCCCTCCTTCCCTCCCTCTCCCCCTCCCCCTCTCCCTCCCTCCTTTGACAGTCGCTCGCGCCCTTGACAGTGTTCTAACCCGAGCAGATAATTTGACACGGAGCTTAGTGTGAACATCAGTCTGCACCGGAATCAAAAGGCAGGGCAGTGGTTAGGGTATTATTACTTTTGTATTTTGTATATTTTTATTGTTAGTCTTATTATTTTTTTTGTCGACGAACGTAATAGTTGGTTATCTGATTTATGTGAAGTTGCGGGTCTTTGTGTGTGTGTGTGTTTGTGTTTGTGTGTGTGTGTGTGTGTGTGTGTGTGTTGTGTTGTTGTTGTGTGTGTGTGTGTGTGTGTGTGTGTTTTAAAACTTTTTGTAGGTGGGGAATGTCTAGTGTTCCTAACGGTTGGTGTATATAGAAATGTTTTATTTGATGTATTTAACGTCTTTACACATTTGACGCCATTGGAATTCAGTGTATCCGTGTGTAGCACGTACTTCCGGGTTTAACAATCTGTGGTATATGTCGAACTTATGGTGAAAAATGGGTGCCGCATCATAAGGTCACCATCAATCAGCAGAATAATTAATAGTAGAGTGATGAGGGGCAAATGTGAGAGTGAGTGAGAGTGTGGAGTTGAGAGTGAGTGAGTGAGTGAGTGAGTGATGAAAGAGAGTGTGAGTGAGAGTGAGTGGAGAGTGTGAAAGAGTTGAGTGAGTGAGTGAGTGTGTGAAAGAGTGAGTGAGTGAGTGAGTGAGTGAGATAAAGAAAAAGAGACAGAGGAAGAGAAAGAGAAAGAGAGAGAGATAAAGATAGAGATAGAGAGAGGGGGAGCAGCTGATCTAGAAAAATAGAGAAGAAGGCCATTGTGAGCTTTTTTTTTCCTTTCCCGTGACCTTGTGTGCGCCCAGCTTCAGCTCCACTCAGCGACAGTGTGCTTTAAGATGAGGGGAAAAATCTTGGAAAATGGGGGAGGGGGATATACTTGTCGTGAGGGAATTATTTTGTTTGTATTCTATATAAGTTTTATATATTTATTTATTTATTATTATTAATTTGAGCCATGACTTTTAATTTATTTATTGAAAGGTGTCAATAAACGTTGATAACATACATAAATATTGCATTAAAAGTATTGTCACTGTAAAATTAGTAAAGTTCTCACATATATATTATATATAAGGAAAGGGAAAAGAAAGAAAGAAAGAAAATATATGCACACACACACACACACACACACACACACACACACACACACACACACACCACACAACACCACACACAACACACACACACACACACACACACACACACACACACCACACACACACACACACACACACACACACACACACCACACACACACACCACACACTATCCACCATTACCACACTACCCACCATTACAAACCATTATTAGCATATCTCACCTGCACACCACACGTAAACGGCAAGCTATGACTTAAATGCTTATTTGTTTAATATGCGTACTTACTTATTCATTGATTCTTTGTAAGCATTAGGTATCTATGTACCGTATCTCTCGTGTCCATACATCCATCTTTTCCCGTATCATTAGTTTTATATTTTCCTCTCTTGTAAATTCTATTTGTGTGATATAAAGTATAATTGTTATTTCATATATTTCATATTGTCTGTGCACTTATACACTTATTGTGTATCAGTACATATCGTGTATTGTTTATGTGTTATACAATGCATTATATATTATTTCATATACTTATAGGTATACTGCAAGATATAAATGTAACATTAAAAATCGCACACACACACACACACACACACACACACACACACCACACACACACACACACACACACACACACACACACACACACACACACACACACACGCACACGCACACGCACACGCACACGCACTCAACACTCACACTCACACACAAACACACACATACACACATATATAAATATTTATACATAAGTAAATCATTGTTATTTTGCGTATTCACATAATTTCACGCCCCCCCCCCAAGATTGGTTTCCCTGACTAACCCTCGTCTCTCCCCGCAGGGTTCGGCTGACTCGAACTACTCCCAGCCGTCCTCGGACCTTTCGCTGGACGAGGAGAGAGAGAACCCCTTCGCCGTGAGACCGAGAGACAGGCACTCTCCCAGCTCGAGAAGGCCAGGGTGAGGGCCGCCCGATGCATGCCTTGGTGTATTTTCTTTTTTAATTGGTTTAAGATGCTTTTTTCTTTTTTTTGGTATATGTTTTCAGGTACGTCTTCTGGGTCTTCTGGGTGGGGTGGGGGGGAGGGTGGAGGGTAGTAGGCGGTGGGGGGTTTGTAGGTGTGTGTGTGGTGTGTGTGTGTGTGTGTGTGTGTGTGTGTGTGTGTGTGTGTGTGTGTGTGTGTGTGTGTGTGTGTGTGTTCGTGTACGTGTGGAGGTGTTTGGCTTATTTTCCATTCCCATGTGGTCAGTGTGGATGAGGTGGATTGTTATATATATATATATATATAATATATATATATATATATATATATATATATAATATATATATATACTTTTTCTTAACACATTAAAAATAAAAAAAAGGCTGTATGAATGGTTCATGAGAAGGAATGATAGGGGAATATAGATATTTCAAAAAAAATATATAACTGTATGTGGATGGGAAGTACCATTAAATATGGACCACATGCACATGCTAACTAAATGCAATGTATAAAAATGTTGCATGTCAGTGTGGTTATGTCGTAAGTAGCATACGTAAGTAAAGAGTTAAAAAGGGTACGTTAGATACAGAGAAGTGTGTAATGTGTATCTAACTCCAGTGTCTTCTTGCACTTCGCTTCTAACACAACTAGAATGAAATAACGGCAGTCTAACACGCTCCATCGCACCGCAAGATGATCTAACCTTTTAGAAACGTGGATTTTTTTTGTCTTAATATAACACACTAGGAATGGTGAAATCTGACCCTTAAAGCAAAGCGAAGACAAGGGATTATGGACCCTGCGACAGCCATGATGCCCTGGGGTGTGGTAGGGTGTTGGCCTTCGCTCGTAGGCACCCTGGGTGTTGCAGCTTCCGTTCCGCTGGCTGCGAGGAGAGGGACGCGGGGGAGACTCTGGCCGTTGCCTCGTTGCGGGAGTTGGGGATGCGGAGGATACGAAATCGCACTGGTTTTTAGCTCTTTCGTTGGTGCGAGGGCCAGTCAGGGACCGCCTCGGGAATGTATGTTGGACGTGGGCGTTTCCCCGCATTATCATCGTTGGTAATGTGCTACCGTTGTTATTTTCTTTCTTCTTATTATTATTGTTGTTATTGTTGTTATAATTATGATAATAATGATAATGATAATTAAGATGGTAATATGGATAGTTATTACTACTACTATTATTAAGATTGTTGTTGTTCGTATTCATGTCATGCGTTGTCATCGTTATTATTTTCTTATCATTATCATTCCTATTCTAAATGTTATATTTCTGAAGCATCTTACTCAAAAATAGATTTGTCAGATATCATCGCATAAGATTGCAGGTCTCAAAATAGGAAGAAATTAAAATGAAATGAGAATCAGAATTCCAGATAAAATCGGATTATAAAAGTTCAAATCTGGTTCAATTTTGTAAATCAAATCAGACTCAAAATTTCAAATCACATTAGATTCAAAATTTCAAATCAAATCAAATTCAAAATATCGCATCAAATCCGATTCTAAACTTCAAATGAAATCAGATTCGAAAATTCAAATCAAAGCATATCCAAAATTTTAAATCAAACCAGACTGAAATTTCAAATCAGTCCAGCTTAAAAATCCCAAATCAAACCACATTCAAATTTTCAAATCAAACCAGATTCAAAATTTCAAATCCAGATTCAGAATTTCAAATCCAGATTCAGAATTTCAAATCCAGATTCAAAATTTCAAATCAGCCCATTTTCAAAATTTCAAATCAAACCAGCTTCAAAATTTCAAATCAAACCAGGTTCAAACCGACCGGAATATAACGATCCCAACCGTCGTGTCAAGCTCCGAGGGAGTGATCCTACCCGGGGCTGTCAGGCTGCCAAGTCTCGCTGCTCTCCCGCCCTGTATTTTTGGTCGCGGGCGAGTGCGTTCTAATCTAAGGTGTTCGCTTGCCAGGTTTCACAATCGCTCGTGTCGGCGCCCTGCGGAGGGGTGCGTCTCGGGTGCATTTTGACGAATCTCCCAATCTTTGTTTGTCTCTGTCTGTCTGTCTGCGTGTGTGTGTGCGTGTGTCTCTGTCTCTATCTCTGTCTCTGTCTCTGTCTCTGTCTCTGTCTCTGTCTCTGTCTCTGTCTCTGTCTCTGTCTCTCTCTCTCTCTCTCTCTCTCTCTCTTCTCTCTCTCTTCTCTCTCTCTCTCTCTCTCTCCTCTCTCTCTCTCTCTCTCTCTCTCTCTCTCTCTCTCTCTCTCTTCTCTCTCTCTCTCTCTCTCTCTCTCTCTCTCTCTCTCTCTCTCTCTCTCTCTCTCTCTCTCTCTCTCTCTCTCTCTCTCTCTCTCTCTCTCTCTCTCCTTCTCTCTCTCTCTCTCTCCTCTCTCTCTCTCTCTT